CCTGAAAACCACTAATCTGTTCTCCATTTCTGTAATTTTGTCATTTCATGAATGTTATATAGTAAAATCAGCCAGTGTGTAGTGTTTTGGAATTGGTTTTTACCAGCATAATTCTCTGAAGACTTACCCTTATAGAGTTTATGTATTCATTCTGCAACATGCTTAATAGTAGTTGCATGTTTATTTTGGTTTTTTAACTGCCAAACAATTTTTCAGGGTTCTGAGAAAGGAGTTTTGTCAATTAAGCATTCACTTTCCTCAACATTATAGAGCTATTCAAAGTATTTATTTCATATTGAGTGAGTTGTGGTAGTTTGTGTTTTTTGAGGAACTGCTCTGTTTTGTCTAAGTTGTCAAATTTATGTGTGTAGAGTTGTTTATAGTATTCCCTTATTATTATTTTGATGTCTGGAGGGTCTGCAGTGATATCTCCTGTTTCACTTCTAATATTGGTAATTTGTGTATTTTTTGGTTTTTCCGTATCAGTCTTGCTAGAGGTCAATTTCTTCTAAGAACTACCTCTTTGTTTCATGGATTTTCTCTATTGTTTTTATGTTTTCAACCTTATTGATTTCTGCTCTTCATTATTCCTTCCCACTGCTTGCTTTGGGTTTATTTTGCTCTTCTTTTTCTAGGTTCTTGAGGTGGGAGCTTAAATTATTGATTTGAGACTTTCTCTTTTTTACTATAAGCATTTAGTGCTATAATTTTCCCTCTCGGCACTGCATTATCTGTGTTCCACAAATTTTGATGTGTTGTATTTTCATTTTAATTCAGTTCAATTGATTTTCAATGTATTTTTTAAATCCCTTGAGACTCCCTGGATTAACCCATGGATTACTTATACCTGTATTGCTTAGATTCCAACAGTTTGGAGATTTTTCTGTTACCTTTGTTATTGATCTCTAGTTTGATTTCATTATGGATTTGTTTTATCTTGGTATATGCCCTGCAGGAACGTGAAAAGAATATGTGTTCTGCTCTTGTTGGGTGTAATGTTCTGTACATTTCAATTAGATCCTGTTGGTTGGTGGAGTTATTGATTTTTCTCTATCCTTGCTGATTTTCTAAGTGTTCTACCAACTATTTAGAGAGGGGTGTTGAAGTCTCCAAGTATAATTGTGGAATGGCCTATTTGTCCTTTTAGTTCTACCAGTTTTTGCTTCACATATTTTGCAGCTGTTTTGTGCACACACTCTTTAAGACTACTATGTCTTCCTGGCGGATTGACCTTTTTATCATAATATAATGCCTCTCTCTGTCTCTGATAACTTTCTTTGCTGGGAAGTCTACTTTATCTGATATTAATATAGCCACTCCTGCCTTTCTTTGATTAGTGTTTGCACGACTTATCTTTTTTTACCCTTTTACTTTCAACTTCTCTAAGTCATTACATTTGAAGTCAGTTTCTTGTGGACAGTAAATAGTTGGTCATGTCTTTTAACCCACTCTGCAAGCTCTGTAACTTAACTGGTGTATTTAGACCATATATATATATTTTTTTTATATCTTTATTGGAGTATAATTGCTTTACAATGTTGTGTCAGTTTCTGCTGTATAACAAAGTGAATCAGCTATACGTATACATATATCCCCATATCCCCTCCCTCTTGAGCCTCCCTCCCACCTTCCCTATCCCACCCCTCTAGGTGGTCACAAAGCACTGAGTTGATCTCCCTATGCTATGCTAAGCGCTGAGTTGATCTCCCTGTGCTATCTCCCCATGCTATGATCTCCCTAGCTATCTATTTTACGTTTGGTAGTGTATATATGTCAATGCTACTCTCTCACTTCGTCCCAGCTTCCCCTTCCCCCCAACACGGTGTCCTCAAGTCCATTCTATACGTCTGCATCTTTGTTCCTGTCCTACCCCTAGGTTCAGTACCATTTTTTTGTTTTTAGATTCCATACATATGTATTAGTGTACGGTATTTGTTTTTCTCTTTCTGACTTACTTCATTCTGTATGACAGACTCTAAGTCCATCCACCTCACTACAAATGGCTCAATTTCATTTCTTTTTATGGCCGAGTAATATTCCATTGTATATATGTGCCACATCTTCTTTTTCCATTGATCTGTTGATGGACACTTAGGTTGCTTCCATGTCCTGGCTATTGTAAATAGTACTGCAATGAACATTGTGGTACATGTCTCTTTTTGAATTATGGTTTCCTCAGGGTATATGCCCAGTAGTGGAATTGCTGGGTCATATGGTAGTTCTTTTTTTAGTTTTTTAAGGAAGCTCCATACTGTTCTCCATAGTGGCTGATGTATTTAAGTTAGGGATTTTGTCTGCCATTTCATTTTTGTTTTCTCCTTGTTCTCTCTGGTTTCTTTTGTTCCTCTGTTTTCTTTTTCCTGCTTTCCTGTTACATGGACATATTTTAGAATTCCACTTTTATTTATCTATGGTATTTTTGCGTATATATTTCTTTGTATAGCTTTTTAGTTTTTCTCTAGGTATTACATTATATAAACATAATAAACATAACTTATCAAAGTCTACTGATGTCTCCAATTTACCAGTTCAAGTGGTGTCTAGAAACCTTACCTCCCTTTATGTCTCTTTACTCTTCTCCATTTATAATACAGTTGTCTTAAACATTTCCTCTATATACATTTAACAGTATAATTTTTTTTCAACTGACAGACATAATTTAGAAAACTCAAAAGGAGAAGGAAACTCTATTGCATTTACCTGTGTTTTTGTTTTACATGTTTTTGTTCCTTTTAGATATTCCGAGATTTTTTCTTTCATCATTTTTTTTTCCTGTTTAGAGAACATCTTCTAGCCTTTCTTGTAGTGTAAGTCTGCTGGGTGACAAATTCTCTTAGTTTCCTTTCATCTGAAAATGTCTTGATTCCCTTTCATCCCCGAAGGATATCTTCTCTGGATATAGGACTCAGGGCTTACAGTTCTTTCCTTTCAGCATCTGAAAAATGTTCCACCACTTACTTCTGGCCTCCATGGTTTCTGATGAGAAATCCACTGCCATTAAAATTGTTTTTCTCCTGTAGGTAACACATTACTTCTCTCTTGATGCTTTCAAGATTTTTTTCTTTGTTATTAGTTTTCATAAGTTTCACTAGTAAGTGACTTGGTACAGATTTCTTTGGATTTTTCTTACTTGGAGTTTGCTCAGCTTCCTGAATATGTAGGTTTAAGTCTTTTGCTAAATTGGGGAAGTTTCCAGTCATTATTTCTTCCTATACGTTTTCAGTCACCCCTCTTCCTCTTCTCCTTCCAGGACTGTGATAACACAAATGTTAGATCTTTTGTTTTACTCCCACAAGTCCCTGAGGGTCTGTTAATTTTTTTTTTCAGTCTGTTTCTCTTTGTTGCTCAAACTGGATAAATTCTATTGTTTTATCTTCAAGTTCACTTCCTGTTTCATCCATGCTACTTTTGAGCCCACCTGCTGAGCATTTTATTTTAGTTACTATATTTTTTCAATTCTAAAATGTCTTCAATTTCTTTACTATGTATCTTCAATGTCTATACTAAGACTTTCTATTTCTTTTCTGAATCTTTCCATTTTTTTAAAATTTGTTTCAGGTGTGTTCATAATTATCGCTGAAGCATTTTTAGGATGGTAGCTTTAAAATCATTGTCAGATAATTCTAACATCTCTGTTATCTAAGTGATAGCATCTATTGATTATCCTCTTACGTTCAGTTTGAGACTTTCCTGGTTCTTGGTATGATTAGTGATTTTCAGTTGAAATTTGGATATTTGGGGTATTTTGCTCTGAGGCTCTGGATCTTATTTAAACCTTCTGTTTTAACTGACACTCTGCTAGGCTTCCTCTGGTACCACCACAGTGGGGAGGGAGAGGAGTGGCTCATTACTACTAGGTGGGGATGCAAGTCCAGGACCCCCATGTGGTCTCAACTAACACAGTAAGAGGGAAAACCTCATTACCACTTTATTAAGCTGAAAGTTCCAGCCCCAAACAGCCTTCATTGATACCACCCTGGCAGGGGTATTATAGTGCCTTCTTATACTCTGGGCAAGAGCAAAAGTCTAGTGTTCCTTCTAGGCCTTTGCTGGCAGAGGTGAGGAAAGGACCAGGGCCACCATTTTTTCTGTGGTGTTTGGCTAGGGTAGAGTAGTTATTGTTGAAAAGTTTTGTCTTGCTAGGCTGTCCCTTTCCTGGTTCTTTGGCTAGAGGGAGTAGGCTTTTGTTTGGACTTTTTTTTTTTTCTTCTGTCTTTACCTAGTTTTCTTTCTAGGTTACCAATTTTTTCAACTCTAAGTCTAGAATATGTGAAGCAAAAAAGATAACCCAAGGAACTAACTCGCCACTGTGCCATTTGTTGGGTCCCAAAGTTCCTAGTTAGTGCCTTAGTCTCTCCACCTTTTAGATCTGTCCTGTTTGTAACACGCAGGTTTTTACCTGTACTTAGCAGGAGGAATAGGAAAAAGTACTTCTACTGCATCATCCCCAGAAGTGGAAGTCTCACAACTAAGTTTCAAGAAACTACCACTTGTAAAGTTTGGGTATATTATTAAAGGAGAATATCCATAATTATGTTAAAAGTCTATTAAAATAATCTCTTCCTTTCCAACTATATATCTTCATGAAGCCAGAATTTTCCTCATATATTTCAACCAAAACAACCTACCACAAAATTGAATGCAGAAGCAAACGTAAGAACCCAGCTATCGTCTATTAAGCCAGACATTAAAGAGATTTGCAAAAAAAAAATACAATCCTAGTTTTACACTACTTTTCTGTTTTAAAAAATATAACTATTTTTCATAAAAATACATTATGTTAACATATATGACTTTATTACTGTTATTTTTAATTTTAAAAAATAAACATTTAAGCATTTTCCCAGTTTTAATTTCCAACACTGTAAATGTCAATAGATATAACCCACATAAATAATTATTGAAGTCCTCAAAAATTTTTAAGAGTATAAAAAGGGTCCTGAAACCAAAAAGTCTGACAGCTTGTAAGATAGAAAACTAGTATTAAAGGAACTTCTTACTTCCTCTCCCGAGAGTTGTAGGTGTGGTTTGTGAGCACTCCGTCCAGTTCCTGGTGCCAATTCAGGTGGTATCCCTGGTCTTGTTGGAAGGACGGCAACATATTCTTGATTGTCACCCATAACAGGAATTCCTTGCAGTATTCTACAGGGTTTTTAATAACAACAAAAAATTGTCCTTTAAGTCATTGATAAGTCAAAGGGTGTTTTCTCTCATTTTATATCTCTACCGAAATAAATGTTTGATATCTGTACTAAATAGATATTGTGCAGAAGTCAGATAATCCAAAATGGGAAATAATTCAAGAATAATTGTTTGCTTCTGAATGCATTTTAGTAGCAATCTTTTGGTGGTTTTGTTTTATAATATTGGAATAATAAATTCACTCTATGAAAGCCTCATGATAAGAGAGGTAAAAAGTTCTCTGCCTTCTGATCCCTAACCTGCTCCTCACTCCAAGTCACAGGAAATGGTTTCATTTCTTAGACTGAGGCAAAGCATCAGCCTAAGCAGAACTGCCTTCTCACATTAAGGTTTTCCCTTCCTGATTCATATCTTGCCAAGATGAACAGAAAACTGTTACGGCATTAGGTCTTTATTTCTAGGCTACAAACTACATATACATAAGAATATACACAGGAGGTTTAAAACTTATCAACAGGGGGCTTCCCTGGTGGCGCAGTGGTTGAGAGTCCGCCTGCCAATGCAGGGGACACGGGTTCGTGTCCCGGTCCGGGAAGATCCCACATGCCGCGGGGCGGCTGGGCCCGTGAGCCATGGCCGCTGAGCCTGCGCGTCCAGAGCCTGTACTCCACAACGGGAGAGGCCACAACAGTGAGAGGCCCACGTACCACAAAAAACAAAACAAAAAAACTTATCAACAAAAACCTAAATTAAACCAAGAGATGAGGTAAATCAAAATCTGAAGGCAAAATGTGTCATTAATGGCTGACTTACAGACTCCTTGAAAATACATTAGCTTTTGTATTGCAGCACTTACTGTAAAAGAAATATAAAATGAGTATAAAGTAGACCTACACAGACTATAGCTATATTTCAATTTCGCTTGGAAGTAGAGCCACTGTTCCCTCTAACTTTTTGTTATACCATTATATGAATAGACAATCAGTTTATGAGCTACCAAATGTGAAGACAAAGCACACACATATCAAACTGACTACTTAACGATATGCTGAAATCCTCAGATTCCATCAAACCACCTCTTAAAAATCAGGCCCACCCAAAGCTAGGCTGGAGAAGACAGGGCTTTGCCAAAGTAAGTTCACAGGGAAGAGCTTCCTATCTCATCCAGTCAAATATTTGAATTCAAAGAGAAGATAAAGCTCAACTCCTAGCACAGTGGACATAACAGATTGCCATTCGACATCCAGTCCTCCCTCCAATACACTTTCCCCAACTGCTGAGGATGGGGAGGTGAAGACCCTCCTGCAGCCAGTGTCCTGGATGTGTTTTAGGATCTACTAACCACGTGCACTCACATATAATTTGGAACGAAGAAGGTTCTGATGTTCCTGCTGGCAAGCAGTCATGGTGACATTGAGTTCTTCTGTGACAGGGTTCCAGTTGCCTCTTTTGTGGGTAGGCTTTTTTGCCAGTGAGCATTCAAACAGACACAGCAAGGCTCCAGAGTCAAAAGCTGTGACACTAGAGGCCACACGATCCCTGAATTTCAGCTAAGGTGGTTTGTTGCCAATGTTGGCCTCCAGATTTCCCGCCTTCCTGACTGTGCCAGAAGGAGCAGCGGCTTTGGCAGCCAGTTAAACGTGCTGTATGAGTCATCTCTGGAAAACCCTCCCTGCCTAGAGCCCATTCTTCCAATCTTTCCATTGATTTTAAAAGCATCACATTCCCATTATTATAGATCCCTTTATGCTTAAAATAGCTCAAACTATTTCTGTTTTCTGCAACTGAATCCTGACTGATATATCAAGGAAAAACAAAAGAGCAGGGTATTCTATCGTCTAGAATAATGAGCGAGAGAATACATATATCAAGATCAAGGAGGAGAGGGGTGACTTAAGAAGCTATCTTGAGGCACTGCTATATTTTTATCTGTTCATAAGCCAAAAACAAAGTAGTCAGAGTCATTCACATATTATTGTCTTTTCACATCCCAAATGTGCATCAAAGAAATAGAAATTCTATTTGGTTGGAAGGAAAGTGAAAGAAGTCACTGGCCATTTTAGAGTGCATAGCTCTGGTAGACATAAACTGGGGTCCTTAGTGGAAAGGCTACCCAAGGTTAGCAACTGTTCCTGTCTGACAAAGATGAATCACTTGCTTTGAAATTTTTGTCCAGATTTTCCCTGCTTCCTTCTTTATTTACAGAGAAAAGAACCAATCCTTTTTAGAGATCTCCCCTTTGGAGACCACCACCACCTCAGTGGTTCAGAATGAAAATCTCTTCATCTCCAACCTCTCCCTCAACCCCAACAGTAATCACTTGTCCTGATCCTTCTCCCTCCAGTGTTTCTCCATCCTGTTGCATTTCCTCTCAGCTAAGTCCTATGATAACATCTTTGCTGTCCCTCACCTCCAGACTTTCCCACCTCCAATCCATGTTACAGATCCCTGACAGAGTTCTCATCAGCTACCCCCTTCCAAATACTTTAGTGACTACGCACACAGGGTAAAACCCAAGCTCCTAAGCCTGGCCATCAGGGTCCTCCACAGTCTGGGAACCATCTACCTTACCAATCCTACTTCCCTCCCCAACACCTGGCCCAACCTATATTCACTGCACAAAAGATGCTCTAGGTGCTGAGATTACTATAGGTGCAATAGGCGAGACAGGCAAACCGAACTACAATGCAGTGTGGCTATGAAAGTGTTGAAAATAAGACTTTTAGACCTCAACTGTTCCACGAAGCCTTTACAAATGTCCCTCTGCCCAGCCAAAATTCATCTTTGCCTCCCTAGTTTCTCTGGTGCATTTGATCTGCAAGTTCATTATAGAATATATTACATTTTATTCTGTATATTTTTCATAGTAGATTACAGGCTGGTTGGGGTGGGAGAGGCGTGATTCTTATTCATTTTCTGTCTCCCTTGAATGTGAATATAGTAGATACTGAATATGTATTGTTTAACACTGTGCCTGAAAAATCCCACAGCCAAAGTTAGCCCAGACCCTGTCCTGAGAAACTAGATTCATGGGTTAGTATGATGTACTGCACTGCTTCTCAAAGTGTGTTTCCTAACCAGCATCATTAGTATCACATAGGAACTTGCTAGAAATAAAAATTCTTGAGCCCCATCACACTTAACGAATCAGAAGCTCTGGAGAGGAACCCAGCCTTCTGTGTTTTAACCAGCCTTACCATTAATTCTGATGCACAATGAAGTTTGAGAACCACTGATGTACTGCAATCTTTTCTAAAACAGCCTGATCATAAGAATATCCTGGGACACTTATCAAATCTATAGCTTCCCAGATATCTCCTCTGGAGATTTTAGTTCAGTTGGTTTGGGATAAAGCCTAAGACCTGATACACTTAAACAACCCAGACGGCCCTTATACTCAGGGGAAGCCTACAAAGCACTGCTATAGTGAGAAGAGCTAGCCTTTGGAATGAGGTTAAAAACCAGGATTTTAGCCTTAGTTTGGCCGCTTGATGTGCTGTGTTGGATAAGTCACTTTTCCTTCTCAAGTCTCAGCTTCCTCATCTATGAGTAGCAACAGCAATGGGATCTTTCAGGGTCTAACGCTTAGAAATAATATATGTGAAGAGTTTGCACAAATTACAAAAAACACCAGTAAGTGGTTGATATTACAATCATTTTTGTTATTATGACTGAAGAGACTGAATGAAGTTAACAAGCCCATCTCTCTCAGAGTGAGTTAAACCGCCTTCCCAGTCAACACTGGTCTCCCATGGGGCCAGATATATAAAATGTTCTTCTTATTATAGGTTGTGTCAAAGAAGTTTGGAGAACATTTGCTCCAGGCTGTGAGCACTCTTAAAAATCTCCGCCCACATCTTTTATGAGTTACACAAATGTGACTGTGGTTACACATCCTGTGAAGCATAGGGAATGGTTCTCCCTCCTGCAACCCTCTCCCCTCCCTTGTGTGACTCTAACAGAGAAGTTCCCCCATCACATCTTCCCTATCCCTTCCTTAGAAAATGTACTGTGCTCCTTGGGGTACTAAACCTGAGGGAGCCTTGGCAGGATAAAGCTCACAGTCACTTTTACGCAACTCAGAAAAGATGTGTTCAGGGATATTTTAAGAGTGTTCAGGGACTTCCCTTGTGGTCCAGTGGTTAAGAATCCGTCTTGCAATGCAGGGGACGCTGGTTTGATCCCTGGTCAGGAAACTAAGATCCCACATGCCGTGGGGCAACTAAGCCCCCGTGCACCACAACTAGAGAGCCCGCAGGCCGCAAACAATAAGCCCGCATGCTCTGGAGCCCTCACGCCACAACTAGAGAGAAGCCCGCACACCACAACAAAGAGCCGGCGCGCTGCAACGAAAGATCCCTCATGCTGCAGCTAAGACCCAATGCAGCCAATAAATAAATATAAAAAAAAAAATTTTAAGTGTTCATGTAAAAAGCTTTGCCAAAGTAATACTTACATGCAATATTCTATCCCAGACATCATTTCTTTAAGGGACTCATAGCAAGCCATTACACTGCACAATCCACTTATTGGGTCACAATTGACAATTTAGAAAACAGTAACTTAAAAGCATGTTGTTTGAAAAGCAAACTCCTAGGTCTAGAAAAGACTTTAGTAGGAGTTCATCTTCTTGAAGATGCTAATCTACAAATAATTTTTTTAGTAAAGTCTTTAAAATCTACAGAAGTAATGAATACTTTCAATACTTTAAAAAATTCAGGGAATACAGTCTTAATAAATAATAAATCTAAGAAGGATAAGAGTGCAATTATACAGAATTTTTTTTTTTTACAAAATACGAATAGAGAGGGGGTAATTTTATTTTTAATCATTGTAACTTCATTGCTACATGCAAACAGTGACATCTGGTGGAATGACATTGCTTTGCTAAAAAAAAGTATTCCAACTTTCAGATATTGGCAGTTATGAAATCAGACAAATTTCCAAATAATTCCTTTTTTTTTTTTTGGTGTTTCCATATAAAACAAAAATACACTAGT